CCTTTGTCTTGGTCACGTTGAGGGAGAGGTTGTTGTCCTGGCACCACACGGCCAGGTCTCTGACCTCCTCCCTATAGGCTGTCTCATCGTTGTCGGTGATCAGGCCTACCACTGTTGTGTCGTCGGCAAACTTAATGATGGTGTTGGAGTCGTGCCTGGCCATGCAGTCATGGGTGAACAGAGAGTACAGGAGGGGACTGAGCACGCACCCCTGAGGGGCCCCCGTGTTGAGGATCAGTGTGGCAGATGTGTTGTTACCTACCCTTACCACCTGGGGGCGGCCCGTCAGGAAGTCCAGGATCCAGTTGCAGAGGGAGGTGTTTAGTCCCAGGATCCTTAGCTTAGTGATGAGCTTAGAGGGCACTATGGTGTTGAATGCTGAGCTGTAGTCAATGAATAGCATTCTCACGTAGGTGTTCGTCTTGTCCAGGTGGGAAAGGGCAGTGTGGAGTGCAATAGAGATTGCATCATCTGTGGATCTGTTGGGGCGGTATGCAAATTGGAGTGGGTCTAGGGTTTCTGGGATAATGCTGTTGATGTGAGCCATGACCAGCCTTTCAAAGCACTTCATGGCTACAGACGTCAGTGCTACGGGTCGGTAGTCATTTAGGCAGGTTATCTTAGAGTCCTTGGGCACGGGGACTATGGTGGTCTGCTTGAAACATGTTGGTATTACAGACTCAGTCAGGATCTCTAGTGGCACAGCTAGCACTGCGATGCAGTGCCTTAGACCACTGCGCCACTCGGGAGGTAATGGAGTTAGTTACATTAACATTTACATTTACGTCATTTAGCAGACGCTCTTATCCAGAGCGACTTACAAATTGGTGCATTCACCTTATAGCCAGTGGGCTAACCACTTTACAATGTGTTCTTTTTTTTTCTTTTAATTTTGGAACAGGCAGTCCTTCCCCGGGAGGAAGAGCAGCTCCGTCTTGCCAAGGTTCAGCTTGAGGTGGTGATCCGTCATCCATACTGATATGTCTGCCAGACATGCAGAGATGCGATTCGCCACCTGGTTATCAGAAGGGGGAAAGGAGAAGATTAGTTGTGTGTCGTCAGCGTAGCAATGATAGGAGAGGCCATGTGAGGATATGACAGAGCCAAGGGACTTGGTGTATAGCGAGAATAGGAGAGGGCCTAGAACTGAGCCCTGGGGGACACCAGTGGTGAGAGCACGTGGTGCGGAGACAGCTTCTCGCCACGCCACTTGGTAGGAGCGACCGGTCAGGTAGGACGCAATCCAAGAGTGAGCCGCGCCGGAGATGCCCAGCTCGGAGAGGGTGGAGAGGAGGATCTGATGGTTCACAGTATCAAAGGCAGCAGACAGGTCTAGAAGGACAAGAGCAGAGGAGAGAGAGTTAGCTTTAGCAGTGCGGAGAGCCTCCGTGACACAGAGAAGAGCAGTCTCAGTTGAATGACCAGTCTTGAAACCTGACTGGTTTGGATCAAGAAGGTAATTCTGAGAGAGATAGCAAGAGAGTTGGCTAAAGACGGCACGCTCAATAGTTTTGGAAAGAAAAGAAAGAAGGGATACTGGTCTGTAGTTGTTGACATCAGAGGGATCGAGTGTTGGTTTTTTGAGAAGGGGTGCAACTCTCGCTCTCTTGAAGACGGAAGGGTCATAGCCAGCGGTCAAGGATGAGTTGATCAGCGAGGTGAGGTAGGGGAGAAGGTCACCGGAGATGGTCTGGAGAAGAGAGGAGGGGATAGGGTCAAGCGGGCAGGTTGTTGGGCGGCCTGCAGTCACAAGTCGCAAGATTTTATCTGGAGAGAGAGGGGAGAAAGAAGTCAAAGCATAGGGTAGGGCAGTGTGAGCAGGACCAGCAGTGTCATTTGACTTAACAAACGAGGATCGGATGTCGTCAACCTTCTTTTCAAAGTGGTTGACGAAGTCATCCACAGAGAGGGGGGGGTTAGAGGCATATACCGTTGCTAATAGCTACTCGCCAGCTAGTCCCGGTGGTGGGTTAGCTAGCTAGCTTCGTGCTACGCTGGGCACAGCCGAATACAATACTAACCTACAATAATTACATACAACAACCCAAATAACTACCCACAATACCTAACTACAATCTAAATACATAGTTTAAGCCTTACTCGACAAAGCCCAAGCTATGTGTAAAGCCAAGCTTACCCGACGCCAAGCTTACCCGACGACCTCCCCGACGTGCTAACAATGACTGTGATCTGCAATTAAGACACCTTGGAGCCTGGCGTGAGATATGGGTCGGTGAACGTATCTCAATGAAGGGATGGGATATGCCACTGTACTCCAAATTGTACCTTTATCTACACTGCTCCATCGAAAAGATTGAAATACTGCTGGTTTTCCTGGAAAACTGCCCTTTTCTTCCTCATGTTAGCTAGCAGTAGCCACTGCAGCCATTTTGGAATGGCAGTGTCAGCCAATCAGCTTCTTTGTTGCCATTCCAGAAAGGCTGTTTTTCTGACCTCAAATCAAATCAAATCACATTTTATTTGCCACATGCGCCACATACAACAGGTGTAGACATTACAGTGAAATGCTTACTTACAAGCCCTTAACCAACAATGCCGTTTTTTAAAGAACAAGTTTTTTTTTTAAACAGGGGGGTACCGGTACAGAGTCAATGTGCGGGAGCACCGGCTAGTCAAGGTAATTGAATAAGAAATACTGCTGGTTTTCCTGGAAAACTTCCCTTTTCGTCCTCATGCTAGCTACCAGTAGCCACAGCAGCCATTATGGAATGGCACTTGGTGTTGAACAAAGGAGCTGATTGGCTGACACTGCCATTCCAAACTCATAATTTGCTGCTGCTCTGTTCTTTATTTTACTTGTATTATGATCTATCCTGTTGCCTAGTTACTTTACCCTGCCTTCATGTACATATCTACCTCAAATACCTTATTATTTATCTATCCTGATGCCTAGTTACTTTACCCTGCCTTCATGTACATATCTACCTCAAATACCTTATTATTTATCTATCCTGATGCCTAGTTACTTTACCCTGCCTTCATGTACATATCTACCTCAAATACCTTATTATTATCTATCCTGATGCCTAGTCACTTTACCCTGCCTTCATGTACATATCTACCTCAAATACCTTATTATTATCTATCCTGATGCCTAATCACTTTACCCTGCCTTCATGTACATATCTACCTCAAATACCTTATTATTATCTATCCTGATGCCTAATCACTTTACCCTGCCTTCATGTACATATCTACCTCAAATACCTTATTATTATCTATCCTGATGCCTAATCACTTTACCCTGCCTTCATGTACATATCTACCTCAAATACCTTATTATTATCTATCCTGATGCCTAATCACTTTACCCTGCCTTCATGTACATATCTACCTCAAATACCTTGTACCTCTGCACATTGATCTGCTACTGGTACTCTCTGTTTATAGCTCCTCATTGATCTGCTACTGGTACTCTCTGTTTATAGCTCCTCATTGATCTGCTCCTGGTACTCTCTGTATATACTGTAGCTCCATTCTTGTCTATTTTATTTTTAAACTCTGCATCGTTGGGAAGGGCTCTTAAGCAAGCATTTCACAGTAAAGTCTACACCAGTTATATTTGGCGCATGTGACCAATAAAATGTGATTTGATTTTAATTTGGAGTACAGTGGCATATCCCATCCCTGCGTGGAGGTACGTTCTCTGACCCATATCTCGCCACGGCTCCATGGTGTCTTAATGTAACCATGATTGCGTTCCAACCTCAGTGTAAACCAGCGTAACAATGGGGTCGATATCTTCTGGCAAAATAACCTATAAAGTAGCTGATGTTTTGCTTTCAATGAATGTTGCAGTGCAGAGGGACTTAATCAAAAATGAAAAATTATTGACTGTGGCACTGTTTTCTCATTTTACAGTATTTCCACTATCCTGTGCGGTACAGAATTATGCATGGGGTAAGGTTGGTCTGGACAGTGAGGTGGCCAAACTGGTTGTTGGTGGGGATACTTCAACTGTCATTGAAGCAGACAAACATTATGCTGAGGTAATTTTTTTCTTGAGGTCGGGGGGCCGGAACATAATTAAGCAATAAGGCCCGAGGGGGTGTGGTATATTGCCAATATACCACGGCTAAGGGCTGTTTTTATTCACGACGCAACGCGGAGTGCCTGGATACAGCCCTTAGCCGTGGTATATTGGCCATATACCACAAACCCCCCGAGGTGCCTTATTACTATTATAAACTGGTTACCAACATAATTAGAGCAGTAAAGATAAATGTTGTCATACCCGAGTGATATACCGATGCTGTTAGCCAATCAGCATTCAGGGCTCGAACCACCCAGTTTATAATTACAAATAATTTGTAGACTGCAAGAAGCCCCCAAATAGATATAATGTTTGACTAAAACATAATCATTTCAAACCTTGTTTGCGTTTGTATACCATCACGTGTCTCTCTATTATGCGTGGGAATACTTGGGAACACATTTCTTAAATTAAAATGATTTGCTGGTATTTTGACAGTCTTATGTCCAACAAAAAAAATTACAAATAAATGCTCAGAAAACTTGGGGGGCCAAATAAAACCACCCGCCAGTTGGGGAACCCTTCAGTAGGGTGAAGCGCGCCAGGTAGCCTAGTGTATAGAGTGTTGGGCCAGTAACCAAAAGGTTGCTTGTGAAAAATCTGTCTGTGCCTTTGAGCAAGGCAGTTAACCCTAATTGCTCCAGGATTGCCGTTGAAAATGGCTGAACCTGGCCGTGAGCCCACTCTCTGAGGGTGTCTCAGGGGGAGTTGCGATGTGCAATAAGGAGTTATTTTCCTCCCTCCAATGTGTTATTCCTGTCCTGCAGATTGGTTTTCACTGGACCCTTCAGGACTTTGGCTGAAAGTCTCTTACTCTCAATGCCTGGCTTGTCACAAGTCATTATTTATTTAGCTACAGTGTTTGTCATAAAAAAGTACAATTACAAAAAATTAACTCCACTTGGTCAGTAATGAGGCCCCACCTTATGTCTTCCATCAGCTGTGGATGGGCGCTCACCCAAAAGGAGACGCCCTCATCAAGGACAACAGGATAGCCCGGAGGACGCTGGGCCAGTGGATCGCAGACTACCCAGCATGTTTGGGGTCAAAGGTCAAAGACACTTTCCAGGGCCAGCTGCCCTTCCTCTTCAAGGTCCTGTCGGTCAACACCGCTCTGTCCATACAGGCCCATCCCAACAGGGTAAGGGTTCATAGAACACACTGTAGCAAAACATTTTGCAGTGGAAAACGTTAACAAGCGTTTGTTATTGGACAAATTCAGATTGGTCTTTCGTTCAGTGGCTACTAAATAACCCTGAAACCAAAGAAAGGGGAGGAGGAGTTTACATTTATTTATCTCAAGTAGAAATTGTGTGTTTTCTTGATTTGATGCATTCTGAATTTATTTTCATTTTGGTAATCATATTGTCCTTCCCCCATTGGTCCACACACCAGGAGTTAGCTGGACGTCTCCATGCTCAGTTTCCAGAGCATTACCCTGACAACAACCACAAGCCTGAAATGGCCATCGCACTTACTCACTTTGAAGGCCTCTGTGGCTTCAGGCCTGTGGAAGAGATCATTGGCTTTCTCAAATGTGAGTGGCATACAGGGCATAAATGCGGGTAGCTTTAGGTATTGGCGGGTAAGATTGTCTATCTGCAGGGCTCTACAGTGAGAGCATCACATTCACAAATACAAATAGTCAAAAGTCAAGTATGAGCACGTGCGACTTGCGATTTATTGTAGAAAAATGCTGCAGTAGCTGTTTTCAAAGTTTTTATGCTGTTTTGTTTCATAGCTGCTAATCGCACAAAGACATAGGAGTCCTATATGTCCCACCTCGCGTAGTAACACTGCTTGGCAGGAGAGCTGTGCGCTCTGAGTGAAGTGCTGATAGATTCATTTTTGGAGGCGCTGCGCACAGGCATAAAAGTAGGTCTAATTTACTCAAAAGTCTACAATGTGATACTTTGTCCTCGTGTTTCTTGGCTATTTACATTGTTTTGTTCACAAGCTCAGTTGTTTTTCAACGTTAGTTTGAGTTTGCTGCCTCAACTGATAGTGAAGAGACGCCCTAGTCAGAACCCAAATCTCTCACACACGCCTGACACCACTGGAGTGGCCCCATTACCACGGTAACCTCCCGCCCTTAAAGGGGCAGCTGAACATTTTGTCTCAAGTGACATTTTGGTTTAAAGACTCCGGTCACAAAAAATTAAATTAAATTGAGCAATATACCACATTACTTCTTACTAATACATTTCTTGTTTTAGAAACATTACAAATCATGGGATTATTTATCTATTGATTTGCGTAAAAAATATTTTGGCTGGTAAAAAATCTATCACATCTTGCAGACTGTCATCGTTTCATATTCCATGTTTTAAAATCTATTCAACCGCTCAGTTCAGTGATTTCCTTCACTTTAAGATAAAGTAGAGATCAATGACACTCAATTATCCTTTAAAGACAATTGAAGTGTGTTAATAGTGAGTGTCAGTCTGTCTGTGTGTCCAGCTGTCCCAGAGTTTCACGCCCTAGTCGGAGATGAGGCTGCACAGGAGCTGCAGAGCAGTATCGGGGAGGCGCGCCGCATCTCGCTGGCCCTCAAGAAGTGCTTCACCCGCATGATGAACTGTGAGAAGAAGGTGTTTGTGGACCAACTCAACATGCTGGTGAAAAGAGTCACTGAGGATGGTGAGCATTATACAAGTATTTTATTTTTGTGACACCTTACACTTCCTCATGTAGCTAGACTCCAACTAGCCTGGTCCCAGATCATTTTGTGCTGTATAGCCACATTCTGTGGTTATTGGCATGACAACGACCAAATGAGTTGGCAAAAAAAGCACAAAACTGATCTGTGACCAGGCCAGGCCCCAACTTTCTTTGCGAAAAGCTCCAATGAAGTGTTCTCTTTATACAATCGATAATACATGACTATGAATGTGGGTCTAAATTATATTCTCCTTGCGATTGTATATTTTCTACAGCATAATGCTCAGTCATGTTTTCCAAAGGACCTCTTGCACCAATACATCTTTGTGTGTGTAATAGTCAACCATTTATCCAGGTTAGTCTTCTTGAGATACGCGTCTCTTTCACAAGAGAGACCTGGGTTGTGTTCAATAAGCACTAAACAGGGAGAGAAAAAAAGTGACTCAAATAGGGAGGTACTTGTCCAATAAGAAACACTCATTTTCTGTAGCAAAACAGTTTTCGTTGCATGTTCTAATGAACGTGTCCCTGTGTTAAAGGCTTTAGTTGTACCTGTTGTACCCCGTTCAGCTGCTGCAGGGAAGGACACACCGGGCAGTAACGGAGAGCTGCTGCTCCGCCTCCACTCCCAGTATCCGGGTGACATCGGCTGTTTCTCCATCTACTTCCTGAACCGCATGGTGCTGGAGCCCGGCCAAGCTATGTTTCTGGGAGCCAATGAGCCGCACGCGTACCTCTATGGAGGTCAGGGGTCAACCAATCAGCTTCTTGGAAAGAGTTAACTAGATGTGTTAAAGTAGTGTATTGATGAGGATAATAATAAAACAATAGGTTAGCTATTGTTTATTGGGGTGGTAATGCGCACATCCATAAAAACACTTGTCCCTGGTGCTGGATTAGTCAGAGGATAATGTAGAACTAAAAACGAATCCTCACTGGTATATGGTCCCAAAGTGTAGAGCCTTTAACTGATTAAACTTTGGGAGCTATACCAGTGTGTATGTTTTTTTAAATCAATAATAAGATCAGCTATTGAAATACCTATTGAATCTTATGATACATTTATGATACCTTTTATAATATGACGTATTATATGTCTTTATTATATTCATTATAGTATTTTATGTTGTGTAAAGTTACAATGAATCTCAAATACAGAACTGTGATAATTCTCTGAATCTTTTTTTGAAAATTAACTTGAAAGAAGGCATCCTATCCTGTCTCTTTCTCACCCTATCGCTCTCCATGCTATTCAGACTGCGTCGAGTGCATGGCCTGCTCAGACAACACGGTGCGCGCCGGTCTGACGCCCAAGTTCATCGATGTCAGCACCCTGTGTGAGATGCTGAACTACAGCCCGGCTCCGGCCAGCGCCAAGATCTTCCCCTCCATACAGGACCCCTCAGACCCCTTCGTCTACCTCTATGACCCCCCTGTCCCCGACTTCACTGTCATGAGGATACAGGTATTTACTTATTTAGCCTGGTCCCAGATCTGTTTGTGCTGTCTTGCCAACTCCATTGATCATTGTCACGCCAGACAACACAAACAGATCTGGGAGCAGGCTTCAATCAGTGTGTCTAATTGCAGCTTTGATTATATGCCTGTGTTTCTATATCAATTATACTCCGCCTTGACAGTAATCTCTTGTTTGAATGGTTCTCTTGTAGTAAGCCGTTGCCATATTTGTTCCAGTGTGGCTCATATTATGTAAAATGTAGGCGTCCCATGTAATGTTCTCTCCCTTCCTCCTCCTCTCCCTACTCAATCTCTCTCCCGCCCCCTACTCCCTCTATCTCTACCTCCTTCTCCTCCATCCCTGCTCCCCCTCTCCTCCCCCCATCCCTTCCTCTCTCCCTCACCAGGTACCAGTCTCTGTCAAGCAGTACACGGTGGCCCCGGTGGACTGTGCGGGTATCCTGCTGGTGATTGAGGGTGAGGCCACTGCCACCTCTGCCCTCTCTGACATCACCCTGAGGCGGGGTACCGTCCTCTTCATCTCAGCCAACGAGAGCGTCTCCCTGCACGTCACCTCCCCCTGCGGAATGACCATGTATCGGGCCTGCAGTCTCCTGTAGCCCCGAGCCTTCTGATAACGTTTTATCAATATTTCCTTCCAACGTCAACCCAACCTGTGGTTCTCCGTGCCAGTCTCCATGCCAGTGGTGATAGACTGAGGATGGCCTACTAACGGTTTGAACTCTGGTCTATGTGTGGTTTCCTTCTTCCATTCCTCTTTCTCAGACCCTGATAGGTACAGTAACAGCTAGTGTGTGATATGCCCGTATGGTTAGTCTACTTGCTGTGGTCCTCTCATTCTGCCCATGTTTGTGTGACCGTTTCTAGAGTATCGAGGCAGAGTGATTATGGAGTTTACATTGGTACAGTATGTCTCAACTCACCTCTCAGTAGAACTGTCACGTACTGGGTATTATTGCTGATTGAGCATGTTCTAATTAATGACCTTGTAAGCCGGAATTATATATATTTTTCCAGGGCAGTGGGTGAAATCTTCTGTTTAATATGACTGCTTTTAAGACAATACATCATATGACAAAAAACAGTATTTTAACATATCAGCTGTATTGGGAACATTTGGCATTTAGAGTGCTGAGATCCCTATGCATGTTTGTGGCACGAAGTCAGATAGTCACAGACTGCAATGTAGTCCTCAAACACGTACAATACCATTCCCTAAAGGTGAAATTCTTTATGACCAAAGTTTTGCAATGTAGCCGTAACTATTGAAGTTGTATATTATAGTTTGTTATTCCAAGACTGTTGGTGATTTCATTTTACATGATGAGAATGTTTCTTCCAATAGAGGGCATGGTTTTGCATTTTTGACTATAGCCTATGACTAGCATGGATCTCTACAGAGAGCGTCTATATGTGAATAAAAAAAATCCCCATTCTGTACCAATATGCTTTGAGTGCTTTCATTGGGATCTACGTTTTTTACATGTTTAGTCATTTAGCAGACGCTCTTATCCAGAGCGACTAACAGGAGCAATTAGGGTTAAGTGCCTTGCTCAAGGGCACATCGACAGATTTGTCACCTAGTCGGTTCAGGGATTAGAACCAGCGACCTTTCGGTTACTGCCACAACGCTCTTAACCACTAAACTACCTGCCGATCTAATCCCCAGAGTGAAGAGTTGTGCTCAGTATATTGAAAACAGATATTGCAGATGGGAACAACGGGGCGGATTTTTGCTACTTTGCTGAAACGGTCGTCCCCCGGGCAACAGTGATAATACAATGCATTGTTTATGTATTTACAGATATTACCTGTAGGATTACATTCTTACAGAGGCCACACCCAAAAACGAAATGAAAACATTGTTTACAAAAAATTGAGGGTCTTGATTTAAATCTGTAGCACAGAAGATCGGCATTGTAGCGCGGTTAAAATGTATAGGTAATTTCCGATTGATTCGACAAATGTAGCATTTACTGTGAATGCAGTTTAACGTTGCCTTTAAATGTCAATAGCGCTATAACGCTGATCTCTTCCCACACTGAGTGCAGTTACACAAATCAGTGTGAAGGCTTAGAGGATCTCATGCTGTTGAAGGAATATGGCTACAGGTTCACCTGCCTCACCTAAAGCCCATTCTGGTGGGAAGCTGCTATAGACCACCGATTGCTAACAGTCAGTATCTGGATAATATGTGTTGAAATGCTTGATAATGCATGTGATATCAACAGAGGTATATTTTCTGGGTGACCTAAATATTGACTGGCTTTCATCAAGCTGTCCACTCAAGAAAAAGCTTCAAACTGTAACCAGCGCTACCAGAGTATTTACAAACAGAACAGGAACTAAATCATCCACGGGTATTGTATCTTTACTAATGCTGCAGAACTCTGCTCTAAAGCAGTATCCAGATCAATCGGATGTAGTGATCACAATATAGTAGCCATATATATTTTTTTAAAGTTCCAAAGACTGAACCTAAAATAGTGTATAAGCGATCATACAAGATGTTTTGCAATGATTCCTATGTTGAAAATGTGAAACGTGTTGGTCTGATGTGTGTAATGAGGAACATCCTGACGCCACACTTGAAGCATTTATGAAATTGCGCCCATGACAAAACTCTATGTTGAGTGATCATTTTGTTGTTTGCTCTATAACCGGTTAGTTCATATGCCTTGCGACTGTGATATATAGGCCTAAGGCCAATAAAATAAGAAGACATAGTGGCAGAATAAATTCAACCACACCTTTGTTTCATCACAAAACTGGAGCGCAACCTCTGTCCGGTGACATTCACAAAGGATATTGCGTGTAACAAACACTTACGCAACATGCAACAATTTCAAAGATTTCACTGAGTTCTCAAATCAAATCAACTTTTATTGGTCTCACACACATATTTAGCAGATGTTATTGCGGGTGTAGCGAAATTCTTGTTACAGTTCATATACAGTGAGGGAAAAAAGTATTTGATCCCCTGCTGATTTTGTAAGTTTGCCCACTGACAAAGACATGATCAGTCTATAATTTTAATTGTAGGTTTATTTGAACAATGTTATAAATTGATTTGCATTTTAATGAGGGAAATAAGTATTTGACCCCCTCTCAATCAGAAAGATTTCTGGCTCCCAGGTGTCTTTTATACAGGTAACGAGCTGAGATTAGGAGCACACTCTTAAAGGGAGTGCTCCTAATCTCAGTTTGTTGCCTGTATAAAAGACACCTGTCCACAGAAGCAATCAATCAATCAGATTCCAAACTCTCCACCATGGCCAAGACCAAAGAGCTCTCCAAGGATGTCAGGGATAAGATTGTAGACCTACACAAGGCTGGAATGGGCTACAAGACCATCGCCAAGCAGCTTGGTGAGAAGGTGACAACAGTTGGTGCGATTATTCGCAAATGGAAGAAACACAAAATAACTGTCAATCTCCCTCGTCCTGGCGCTCTGTGCAAGATCTCACCTCGTGGAGTTGCAATGATCATGTAACACACTATGCCGTGAAGGACTGAAATCCTGCAGCGCCCGCAAGTTCCCCCTGCTCAAGAAAGCACATATACATGCCCGTCTGAAGTTTGCCAATGAACATCTGAATGATTCAGAGGAGAACTGGGTGAAAGTGTTGTGGTCAGATGAGACCAAAACCAAGCTGTTTGGCATCAACTCAACTCGCCGTGTTTGGAGGAGGAGGAATGGTGCCTATGACCCCAAGAACACCATCCCCACCGTCAAACATGGAGGTGGAAACATTATGCTTTGGGGGTGTTTTTCCTGCTAAGGGGACAGGACAACTTCACCGCATCAAAGGGACGATGGACGGGGCCATGTACCGTCAAATCTTGGGTGAGAACCTCCTTCCCTCAGCCAGGGCATTGAAAATGGGTCGTGGATGGGTATTCCAGCATGACAATGACCCAAAACACACGGCCAAGGCAACAAAGGAGTGTCTCAAGAAGAGGCACATTAAGGTCCTGGAGTGGCCTAGCGAGTCTCCAGACCTTAATCCCATAGAAAATCTGTGGAGTTGCCAAACGCCAGCCTCGAAAACTTAATGACTTGGAGAAGTTCTGCAAAGTGGAGTGGGACAAAATCCCTACTGAGATGTGTGCAAACCTGGTGGCCAACTACAAGAAACATCTGACCTCTGTGATTGCCAATAAGGGTTTTGCCACCAAGTACTAAGTCATGTTTTGCAGAGGGGTCAAATACTTCCCTCATTAAAATGCAAATCAATTTATAACATTTTTGACATGCATTTTTCTGGATTATTTTGTTGTTATTCTGTCTCTCACTGTTCAAATAAACCTACCATTAAAATTATAGACTGATCATGTCTTTGTCAGTGGGCAAACGTACAAAATCAGCAGGGGATCAAATACTTTTTTCCCTCACTGTAAGGAAGTCAGTCAATTGAAATAAATTAATTAGGCCCTAATCTATGGATTTCACATGACTGGGCATACAGATATGCATCTGTTGGTCACAGATACTTAAAAAAAAAAAGTAGGGGCGTGGATCAGAAAACCACTCGCCCACACAACGCCATACATCCATGAAGAGCACACTTCTCCAGCGTGCCAGTGGCCATTGAAGGTGAGCATTTGCCCACTGAAGGTCAAGACCCTGGTGAGGACGATGAGCACGCAGATGAGCTTCCCTGAGACGGTTTCTGAAGTTCTTCGGTTGTTCAAACCTACAGTTTCATCAGCTGTCCAGGAACTGTGAGAAGAAGGTGTACCCTCAGGCCTGGAGGGAGGCAACGGTCATTCCGTAAAGCACCCTTGGTTCAAACAGCTGACCAATCAGCCTGTTGCCGATGCTTAGCAAACTTTTGGAAAAAAGTCGTGTTCGACCAAATACAATGTTATTTTACAGAAAACAAATCAACAACAGACTTTCAGCATTCTTATTGGGAAGGGCACTAAACATGCTTGGCACTGACACAAATGACTGATGATTGGCTGTTATTGTTTTCTGTTTTTACTAATGACCTTCCGCTTGAATAAAGGCTCTGTGTCTATGTACGCTGACGACTCAACAGTACACACGTCGGCTACAACAATAAAATAAAATAACTGACCCTTAACATAGAGCCCCAGTCAGTTTTAGAATGGGTAACTAGCAATAGGCTGGTGCTAAATACCTCAAAAAAACTAAAAGCATCATTTTTGAATAATGTGGCCATTGAGCAAGTTGAGGAGACTAAACTACTGGACATGCGACCCGAGGTCTCTTTACAGTCCCCAGGTCCAGAACAGAGGCTGGGAAACGCACAGTATTAAATAGAGCCATGACTACATGGAACTCTGCCACCCCAGGTAACTCAAGCTAGCAATAAAAAACGGATAAAATAACATCTTACGGCATGACAGGGACTGTGAAGAGACAGACATTTATTATGTATCTGATACAAGGTTGGGATACGACTGTGATATGTGGTTGTCTCGCTTGGCTAGCTTAAGATGAATGCACTAGCTGTGAGTCGCTCTGGATGGGAGCATCTGCTAAATGACTAAATTGTAATGTAAATGTATATTATTTGTTGTGTTTCCTGTTTGGACCCCAGGAAGAGTAGCCGCTGTCTCGGCAGCAGCTTATTGGGGATCCTAATAAATAATAAATCAAACTTATGGCTTCACACCTGTGTGAGTGAGCTGGTGACTCTTAAAATTACACCGGACACTGAAATTCTTCCCACACTGAGAGCAGTGACATGGCTTCTCTCCTGTGTGAGTACGCTGGTGGTTTTTTAAGACACCAGACAGTGTGTAACTCTTACCACACTGGGAGCAGCGTTATGGCTTCTCTCCTGTGTGAGTACGTTGGTGTCTCTATAAATATGTGAAATCACAAGGGTGGTGCATTTCCCCCTACTGACACAGTGGGACTAGAAGGTCACAGGTACTAATCTTGCCGATCCCCTTTCTCAAAAGATGTATATTTATAGTCTTCTACACGCCTTTTTAATGTAAATTTTTCTCAGCAATGTAACAAGCCCATGACTTAATTGGTAAAGTCGAATTTGGAAAGGAGCGCTGGGGCCGCATGCATCAAGCGTCTCTGAGTAGTGGCGCTGATCCAGGATCAGGTCCCCCGTCCTTGTAATATTATTAATTTGGATTTAAAAGGCTAAACTGATCTTAAATCAGCACTCCTATTCTAAGATGCTTGATACCTCTTTGTAAATGCTATGGCTAACCCTTACCATGGGAGGGCAGCAGGTAACCCGTTCTAACCAATCTCTGGTTGAATTTACCTAATAGATTGAAGTGTTACAAAAAAATAACAATCTTTATTTTCTGAAAACGTAATGAATTTGAATAATCACACAAACACATTACAATCCATCACAATGTCAGAATCTTACATTATTTAAATGAGCTGCAGTAATTTAGAACTCCACAACATGTGAAAATGTCCATTTATTTTCACTTAACAACCATTACCCGTTATAAGAGTTGCATTACCCTGGCCTGTGGTGCCCCCTTCGGGCCCCTCTGTGACCTTCACTGCCTGTCTGAAGCTCTTCCACAGGGGGTGCTGTCCCGGTGCCTTACAGGACCCCTTGGCCTTGACCTTGGCTGCAGGAGGCTGCTTGGGTGCTGGCTCTGCCATGGTGAAGCTATGCCTGACCACCTGCTCTGGCGTGGGTCCGAGGGCATCGTAGAGCCTCTGCAGTGCCCGCACATCCTCCAAGGCATCATGCGCCTCGTAGGAAATGCCAACCACTATCCGAACAAGGTTTTCCTGCCGAAAACTCTGGAGACCATGTCCCTTCAGAAGCTCTCGCGCCAACGGGAGTGTGTCCAAGCAACCAGAAACCGCTAACTGGAACTCTGCTTTGAGGTCAAACTCGTCAAGCGCTCTAGCTAGCACAGGGCAGTCGAAGCGACGGATATTGTGACCGACGACCATCGGGCGGTCCAGCATGCGCAGGAAGGCTATGAAGGAGACTAGTACTTCTTCGAGGGAGTTGGTCCGGACGGGGCAGCGATGGTGGTACAGCCTGTGCCTCCGGACCCTGAAGCCGGTGACCTTGGCGGCGCCACGCTGCATCCGACATCGAGGGACACTGTAGAGGTTCAGGGAGTGACCCCCACTTACTGCAGCCAGCTGGACGATTTCACAGCTCTGACCTGTTGGAATGACAAGCATTACAAACACATTACAAACACTCAATCAGTTATAAAGAACATGACAGACCGTATAGAAACAATTGAGACATTCATATAACAAAACAAAAAAAATGTGGGTGATGTTTTTCAGTCCTGGTGCTGGAGACCCACAGGGTATGCAGGCTTTTCTTCCACCCCAGAACTACACAACTGATTCAAGGTTAATTCAAATCAGTGATATTCTTTGATTCTATCTGTGTTAGTTCTGGGCTGCCTGAGCCAAAAGCCTGCACACTCTCTTGGTCCCCAGAACCAGGATGGACTGATCACACTAATATGGTGAATTAATATAACCTGCCCTACATGATTACATTGAATGATTATGAAAAAACGTTGTCTTTGATTGAAAGTTGATAAACATCGCGACAATAACGTTGGTTCTTGATACACTGTTGCAAGATCGAAAGTAGGGACCACCAACTGACTACTACAATGGTATCAACAACACGACAGGCTGCAGTAATGTAGCTAGAATATCGAGTGACTGACCAAGTCCTGTTGTCTCCAAGTCAAAGAAAACCAAACTTCGGCCAGGGCTGGTAGCCACAGCGAGGGGAGAGTTCTCCTTTTCCATGAGTTTTAATCACGTCTATGAATCAGAGAAGACTTGTGAAAATGGAGCTCAAACTGACAACTTACTATAGATGCGCCGTGAATTAAGTTATGAGAGCAAACAATTTGCCAGAGACAAGATAACGAGTTTCACAATGAAACAATACATATTATTAGACCAAAGAAATTCGCTATTTTGCTTTGAATCTTACCATTATATTTTAAACTATGCAGCTAATGTCGGGAATCCCAAACCTAGGACAACAGCACAAACATTGTGGGATGAAGCTCTGGATAAACTTATTCTTCTTCTTCCTCTTCTTCTTCTTCTTCTTCTTCTTGTGCGTTTCATGGCGGACTACATCCCCCAAAGATGTAATGCCGCCACCAGCTGGACGGGGTTGAAAAAACAAGGTAAAAATCAAATCACATTTTATTTGTCACCTGCTTCGTAAACAAAAGGTGTGGACTAACAGTGAAATGGTTACTTATGGGCCCTTCCCAACAATGCAGATAGAAAGAAAATAGAGAAATAATAGAAAAGTAAAACACATAATACTAAAAGTAATAATAGATACACACAGGAAACTAACTCTACATCGTTAGATGAAGTTGTGTGGAAAACGGAATGGGGTGGTGAAATAATTTTCTGTCACGGACAAAGGAACTCAAAAGGGGTGATGATATTAATTAGCAAAAATGCCGATCCGTATGTGCAAACAGTCAGGAATGATTCGCAAGGAAGGTGGACCCTTTTGAATATGAAAGTGGAAGAAAAAAGTGATTTGGCTCATTAATCTATATGGTCCAAATCAGGATGATCCATACTTCTTCGAAAACATTTATACCAATTTATTGAACTTACAGGCAACAAAGGATCAAATTGTTATGGTGATAGACTATCATCACCGTGGACTTAAAGAGATCACAAATATTATGGACACGTTAGAAATAGTGGATATTTGGAGACAGTCTCTGAATGACGAAACTCTGGAGAGACTTGATTACAGCCTTAACCCCAAAATGGAGGAGGCAGGGAACTGGTCTGTCTGCCCAATATAAAGGATCCAAACTGGAGGAGGAATAAAAATAGCATAAATAGGGAAGTATACCAGTTTCATTTGAGGACCAGGATGTTGACAGCTGTGCCATACAGATTGCAAAATAGCTGGTTCCATGGCACAGGGTGTATGGGTTGTTATATATAACGAAGCAAGAGAGCAGAGAGAACAGCCTATGACCTGGGTGGCTGGAGTCTTTGACAATTTTTAGGGCCTTTCTCTGACACCGCCTGGTATAGCGGTCCTGGATGGCAGGGAGCCCTAGTCGGACATTCCAAAAATGTCGCTTCACGGTTCCCACCACAATTGCAACACTTCACATTCTCCTCACTTTTACAACACATGAGATGATCTCTTCCACAACATGGACATCTAGGCTTTTCCCTTCTGCAGACACTTTCTCTAGTGAGACTACTATCAAAGATTGTCTATTATATTGACAAGACTGTCAAGTGACCGCTCTAACAATGGAAATACATGTTCTCAAAGATGGAAGGCAGGCGAGATCAGGTGGGACCATTCTAGAGGGCAGATACGCGTGTGAACAACAGGCCATAGAGATAGATAGAGGACTCGTCTTTGTATCTTTATAGCGTCTGTGACAGCATGGGCAGTGTCATTGAGGCTATCTCCATTTTAAAGTAGTCCGTTTTCTTCTTCTTGGCATTCTCTCAACCAGCTTCATGAGGTAGTCACCTGGAATGCATTTCAATTAACAGGTGTGCCTTCTTAAAAGTTAATTTGTGGAATTTCTTTCCTTCTTAATGCGTTTGAGCCAATCAGTTGTGTTGTGACAAGGTAGGGGGGGGGGGGTATACAGAAGATAGCCCTATTTGGCAAAATACCAAGTCTATATTATGGCAAGAACAGCTCAAATAAGCAAAGAGAAACGACAGTCCATCATTACTTTAAGACATGAACGTCAGTCAATATGGAACGTGGCTCCTGAGTGGCGCAGCGGTCTAAGGCGCTGCATCTCAGTGCTTGAGGCGTCACTACAGACCCCCTGGTTCGATTCCAGGCTGTATCACAACCGACCGTGATTGGGAGCCCCATAGGGCGGCGCACAATTGGCCCAGCGTCGTCCGGGTTTGGCCGGTGTAGGCGGTCATTATAAATAAGAATTTGTTCTTAACTGACTTGCCTAGTTAAATAAAAAATGTCAAGCACTTTGAAAGTTTCTTCAAGCGCAGTCGCAAAAACCATCAAGCGCTATGATGAAACTGGCTCTCATGAGGACCGCCACAGGAATGGAAGACCCAGAGTTACCTCTGCTGCAGAGGATAAGTTCATTAGAGTTACCAGCTTCAGAAATTGCAGCCCAAATAAATGCTTCACAGAGTTCAAGTAAGACACATTTCAGAGGAGACTGAGATGAGAGAGGCCTGTAATTTTCATCATAGGTCCACGTCAACTATGACAGACAAAACGAGAAAAAAAAATCCAGAAAATCACATTGTAGGATTTTTTATGAATTTATTTGCAAATTATGGTGGAAAATAAGTATTTGGTCACCTACAAACAAGCAAGATTTCTGGCTCTCACAGACCTGTAACTTCTTCTTTAAGAGGCTCCTCTGTCCTCCACTCGTTACCTGTATTAATGGCACCTGTTTGAACTTGTTATCAGTATAAAAGACACCTGTCCACAACCTCAAACAGTCACACTCCAAACTCCACTATGGCCAAGACCAAAGAGCTGTCAAAGGACACCAGAAACACAATTGTAGACCTGCACCAAGCTGGGAAGACTGAATCTGCAATAGGTAAGCAGCTTGGTTTGAAGAAATCAACTGTGGGAGCAATTATTAGGAAATGGAAGACATACAAGACCACTGATAATCTCCCTCGATCTGGGGTTCCACGCAAGATCTCACCCCGTGGGGTCAAAATGATCACAAGAACGGTGAGCAAAAATTCCAGAACCACACCTAGTGAATGACCTGCAGAGAGCTGGGACCAAAGTAACAAAGCCTACCATCAGTAACACACTACGCCGCCAGGGACTCAAATCCTGCAGTGCCAGACGTGTCCCCCTGCTTAAGCCAGTACATGTCCAGGCCCGTCTGAAGTTTGCTAGAGTGCATTTGGATGATCCAGAAGAGGATTGGGAGAATGTCATATGGTCAGATGTCACCAAAATATAACTTTTGGGTAAAAACTCAACTCGTCGTGTTTGGAGGACAAAGAATGCTGAGTTGCATCCAAAGAACACCATACCTACTGTGAAGCATGGGGGTGGAAACATCATGCTTTGGGGCTGTTTTTCTGCAAAGGGACCAGGACGACTGATCCGTGTAAAGGAAAGAATGAATGGGGCCATGTATCGTGAGATTTTGAGTGAAAACCTCCTTCCATCAGCAAGGGCATTGAAGATGAAACGTGGCTGGGTCTTTCAGCATGACAATGATCCCAAACACACCGCCTGGGCAACGAAGGAGTGGCTTCGTAAGAAGAATTTCAAGGTCCTGGAGTGGCCTAGCCAGTCTCCAGATCTCAACCCCATAGAAAATCTTTGGAGGGAGATGAAAGTCTGTGTTGCCCAGTGACAGCCCCAAAATATCACTGCTCTAGAGGAGATCTGCATGGAGGAATGGGCCAAAATACCAGCAACAGTGTGTGAAAACCTTGTGAAGACTTACAGAAAACGTTTGACCTGTGTCATTGCCAACAAAGGGTATATAACAAAGTATTGAGAAACTTTTGTTATTGACCAAATACTTATTTTCCACCATAATTTGCAAATAAATTCATGAAAAATCCTACTATGTGATTTTCTGGAAAAAAATGTCTCATTTTGTCTGTCATAGTTGACGTGTACCTATGATGAAAATTACAGGCCTCTCTCATCTTTTTAAGTGGGAGAACTTGCACAATTGGTGGCTGACTAAATACTTTTTTTCCCCACTGTATGTAAACTTCTGACCCACTGGGAATGTGATGAAAGAAATAAAAGCTGAAATAAATAATTCTCGCTACTATTATTCTGACATTTCACATTCTTAAAATAAAGTGGTTATCCTAACTGACCTAAGACAGGGAATTTTTACTAGGATTAAATGTCAGGAATTGTGAAAAACTGAGTTTAAATATGTATTTGGCTAAGGTGTATGTAAACTTCCGACTAACTGTATATCAGCCCTCTGATTACAATGAATAGCAAGACGTGCCGCTCTGTTCTGGGCCAGCTGCAGCTTAACTAGGTCCCGCTCTGTTCTGGGCCAGCTGCAGCTTAACTAGGTCCCGCTCTGTTCTGGGCCAGCTGCAGATTAACTAGGTCCTGCTCTGTTCTGGGCCAGCTGCAGCTTAACTAGGTCCTGCTCTGTTCTGGGCCAGCTGCAGATTAACTAGGTCCTGCTCTGTTCTGGGCCAGCTGCAGATTAACTAGGTCCTGCTCTGTTCTGGGCCAGCTGCAGCTTAACTAGGTCCTGCTCTGTTCTGGGCCAGCTGCAGATTAACTAGGTCCTGCTCTGTTCTGGGCCAGCTGCAGATTAACTAGGTCCTGCTCTGTTCTGGGCCAGCTGCAGATTAACTAGGTCCTGCTCTGTTCTGGGCCAGCTGCAGCTTAACTAAGTCTTTCTTTGCAGCACTGGACCACACGACTGGACAATAATCAAGATTAGACTAAACTAGAGCCCGCAGAACTTGCTTTTTGGAGTGTGGTGTCAAAAAAGCAGAGCATCTCTTTATTACGGACAGACCTCTCCCCATCTTTACAACCATTGAATCTATATGTTTTGACCATGACAGTTTACAATCTAAGGTAACGCCAAGTAATTTAGTATCCTCAACTTGTTCAACAGCCACACCATTCATTATCAGATTCAGCTGAGGTCTAGAACTTAGGGAATGATTTGTACCAAATACAATGCTCTTAGTTTTAGAAGTGTTCAGGACCAGTTTATTACTGGCCACCCATTCCAAAACAGATAACTCTTTGTTAATGGTTTCAGTGACTTCATTAGCTGTGGTCATCTGATTCAATGAAAGATGGAGTTGAATTTGTCTTTCTGCCCACAATTTCATTTAAAGTACTCCAAAAAATTTTTTCCATCATTCTTTATATCATTGATCTTGGCTTTATAATACAGTTTATTCTTCTTTTTGTTGAGTTTAGTTACATAATTTCTCAATTTGCAGTAAGTCAGCCAGTCAGATGTGTAGCCAGACTTATTAGCCACTCCTTTTGCCCCGTCTCTTTCAACCATACAGTTTTTCAATTCCTCATCAATCCATGGAGTCGTAACAGTTCTAACAGTCAATTTCTTAACAGGTGCATGTTTATCAATAATTGGAAGAAGCAATTTCATAAATTCATCAAGTGCAGCGTCTGGATGCTCCTTATTAATCACATCAGATCAACAAATATTCTTTACATCATCCACATATGTATTATCTCTTATACACTATTTTAGGACTAATTTAGTCTGCATTTCGAAAGGAACCATATAAGAAGTGTGGGTTTAGAAAGGAACCATCTAAGAAGTGTGGGTTTAGAAAGGAACCATATAAGAAGTGTGGGTTTCGAAAGGAACCATGTGAGGAGACGTCAGGAGCGCTGGAATCCCATAACAACTAGAACCGCCATGACTTGATATTTCAATTATTATTATTATTTCAAATATTCAATAATAAATAATGCATGCTTTTTTTTAATATATAAGTTAAGGTAGCTAATTTACGAAAAACTTAAAGGTACATACATGACTACCGGTAGGTACTGTTCAAAGACACAGCTCGCAGTGAGTGAATAGATATGTTTTCATAACTGACATTCCTTACCGTCATCTCTGCAGATCTAACTAACATCCGATAACCCAAACTACGTCTTGAGTGGCAACTTTAGAAACCCCCACGTCCTTACATGGTTCCTTTCAAAACGACCACTCCTTTCGAAACCCCCATTTTCCTGAGAGGTGCACTGGGAGATGATATAGAAGCTGGACCCCTCTCGACCTGAAAAGCGCAGTCCACTAATTAGTTGTCCAACCAAAACGTTTCCCCGAGATTCTCATATAGCACTATTAACGTTATTGAGAAGCACAGAATCCCTTTAGATTTCTTTAGATTTTATCCCCAGTTTCCATCCAACTTAATAAAGTCATCAGTTTCTCATTTCTTCAGCCAAGAAGAAAACAAATATCATGTTTCTTTCATTAATAAACATTTTCAAATGTAACAATTTTATAAACCATGTTTTTTATTTTTCACACACTACCACATGATTATTGTTTGCTAAAATTGTACATTACAATATTTACAGTTACAAGTTTTTATTTTATTTTTATACTGCGGACATGATCATCCACAAAAGTACTATATGCACGGGAAAGACCAGGGCACACAGATATGCCGCAAATTCAAAGGACTTCCTAATGTCTTTCTCTAGATTGAAGAGCTACAAGTAACCGTGAAAACACACTTAAAAACAGCACAACCTGCGTGTGTAATAAAATAAAATAAATTGCACAGATGCTTCCCTCGATCAGAAAGCCCTTCTAGGGTTAGAGGCGTGTTGCAGGGGAAAGGTTTGACGGTGCACCACCAACTGGCTGGGACTCCATTTCTGATAGAGCTCCTGCAGGGCCTTGACATCCTCCAAGGCGTTGTGAGCCTCGTACGTTTTATGGAGGAACACACGGACCAGGTGCTCCTGAGAGTACCTGGTCAGTCTGGATGAAAACATCTCCTTACTAATCAAGAAGGTGTCTAGGAAACCAGACACTACTTCCTGGAACTCGTGCAACAGGGAGCATTCCCCCAGAGCCCTGGCCAGCACGGGGCAGTCGAAACGCCGGGCATTGTGGGCCGCCAGTAGGGGCTTGTGGAAGGAGCGGAGGAAGGTGATGAAGGAGGTGAGGGCCTCTCTGAGGGGGATGGTGTCCACCGGTTGACCGTGTAGGAGCAGGGTCTGGTGGTCCCTGACGGTGAACCCTGTGACAATGGAGGCCTGGTTCGTCATGCTGCAGTGAGGAAGAGCGTACACGTTGAACATCCTCTCCCCGCTGATGGCCGACAGCTGGATGATGTCACACACAGATGTGTCTATGGAGGTAGATGAGAGATACCGTCACATTTAAAGGACAGTACTGTTTACCCTTTTGCCCTGTTAAACTCTATCACAGTTGGGTTAGGGTTATGGGTTAGTAGGGTTAATACGTGCCCGTATTGTGACAAGGCTGGATTCACATGGATGATATGAACGATACACTCTTAGAAAAAAAGGTGCTTCCTAGAACAATTAAAGTGTGCCTCGGCTGTTCCTGTAGGAGAACCCATTTTGGTTCCTTGCGAAACCCTTTATGATTAACGTAGCACCTGTATTCTAATAGGGGGGGAATTCTGACCTGAGTTAAGCGCACATAAATGGAACCTAATTCCCTTTTTATGCACTTTTCTCTCTACACTTATTCTGACCTCGAACTTAAGCATGAGAATATCATGCTATTCATCAGCTATTCATTTGGGGTGGAGATAAAATAAATGAAGGTGTGGCAGAGGTGTCTCCAGATACACCGCATTCTGACCTTGACTTAATTCCCTCATAATTCCACCACCTTTATAAAGGCAAGCAACCTGTCGGTTCCAAGTGGAACAACATCTACTTTATTTTTTTCCGATAGCAATAACACCATTCTCCATGCACTGTAATTTACCAATTGATGAGAGCTATTGATAAGAGCTAGATAAATGAGTAAGCCATTTGGATAAGGGGATTGTAAATATGACCTTATGATTGCTGGACACAAATGTGGAGACAAATGTGAAACCAGTCATATGGCAGCAAACAAAAGCATATCAACATATAATATAATAATAATAATAATATGCCATTTAGCAGACACTTTTATCCAAAGCGACTTACAGTCATACGTGCATAAATTTTTTGTGTATGGGTGGTCCAACATATCACCTTTTCCACAGTGAAGTTTATATAATTCTGGCCTTATAACTTTCAGGGATGAAATTTGGAGATCCAAGCTATAAGCTTCTGTAGCCATGCGCAAATGACAGTATAGCGCCAAACCTACAGAGTTGTTTTATGATTTCTAGAATGTTTTACTCTGAACAAAAAAACGCAACATGCAATAATTCCAACGATTTTACTGAGTTACAGTTCATAAGGAAATCAGTCAATTGAAATAAATAAATTAGGCCCTAATCTATGGAGTTCACATGAATAGGAATATAGATATGCATCTGTTGGTCACAGATAACAGAAAACCAGTCAGTATCTGGTGTGACCACCATTTGCCTCATGCATTGCGGCAAATCTCCTTTGCATAGTTGATCAGGCTGTTGACTGTGGCCTGTGGAATGTTGTCCCACTCCTCTTCAATGGCTGTGCAAAGTTGTTGGATATTGGAACACGCTGTCATACATGTCGATCCAGAGCATCCCAAACATGCTCAATGGGGGCATGTCTTGTGAGTATGCAGGTAATGGAAGAACTGGGACATTTTCAGCTTCCAGGAATTGTGTACAGATCCTTGCGATATGGGGCCGTGCATTATCATGCTGAAACATGAGGTGATGGTGGCGGATGAATGGCACGACAATGGGCCTCAGGATCTCGTCACGGTATCTCTGTGCATTCAAATTGGCATCGATAAAATGCAATTGTGTTCGTTGTCCATAGCTTATGCCTGCCCATACCATAACCCCACCATGGGGCATTCTGTTCACAACATTGACATCAGCAAACCGCTCGTCCACACAATGCCATACACGCAGTCTGCCATCTGCCCGGTACAGTTGAAACAGGGATTCATCCGTGAAGAGCACATTTCTCCAGCGTGCCAGTGGCCATCAAAGGTGAGCATTTGCCCACTGAATTCAGTTACGATGCCGAACTGCAGTCAGGTCAAGACCCTGGTTAGGAAGACGAGCACGCAGATGAGCTTCCCTGAGACGGTTTCTGACTGTGCAGAAATTCTTCGGTTGTGCAAACCCACAGTTTCATCAGCTGTCTGAGTGGCTGGTCTCAGACGATCCCGCAGGTGAAGAAGCCGGATGTGGATGTCCTGGGCTTGCGTCGTTACACGTGGTCTGCGGTTGTGAGGCCGGTTGGACGTACTGCCAAATTCTCTAAAACGACGTTGGAGGCAGCTTATGGTAGACATCTCTGGTGGACATTCCTGCAGTCAGCATGCCAATTGCATGCTCCCTCAAAACTTGAAACATCTGTGGCATTGTGTTGTGTGACAAAACTGCACATTTTACAGTGGCCTTTTATTGTCCCCAGCACAAGGTGCACCTGTGTTATGAGCATATTGTTTAATCAGCTTCTTGATATGCCACACCTGTGAGGTGGATGGATTATCTTGGCAAAGGAGAAATGCTCACATCTGTGCACAACATTTGAGAGAAATACGCTTTTGTGTGTATGGGAAATGTCAGTGATCTTTTATTTCAGCACATGTTAAATGTTGCATTTATATTTTGTTTCAGTATTATTAAATGTCAGGACTTTTCACAGTATCTTTTTTTCCCAATTTGAATCATGTTAAATATTAGCCACTATCGGTAGCCACCGTCAGTTATATATACAGTACATTTATAACTGTCACATTTTGCATCATTCCAATACATCGTTAGTTTACCTTTCTTTCCTCTGTCACGTTCCTGTGGTTGTTCCTGGGGATCGCTAGCAATAGTGTATCATATAAGGCTAACGTATTACAAGTTGGGCAATAATTTGGGACATGTAGCCTATTTGAATCATTATGGAAAGCAGATCATGTAGCCTGGGGCAAGATCCATGACTATTGGACCATTATCACAGTTCCATTATTTATTATACTGTTCAACTTTTATTGTACACTTTTCTCACCTTCCAATATTTCATGGGTTGAACAATTGAATATGGCAACAACATTCAGAATGAATCAAACCACTATTTTTGATTCACCATTATATTTTGTTTGTAAAGGCTCTCCAAATCTGTTTTATTATTATTCATAAATACTTTCCGAACCCTAAATAATATACAAGATCAGAGTATTTTTTTATCTACCAATTGGTGCCGAAAAGATTACGAATATGCGTGATTTTATATGCCTTTCTTTAATTGATCCCTAATATTCGGACCCATTCCATATATTCTAGTATACGAGTCTGTTGAGAAAATTCAAATTAAAGGTACACCAAATTTAAAGGGATGGCTTTAGATAAATGTACTTATAACCCTACTGAATGAAAACTCCATGAGAAAATCTGATGACCAGCAAGTGGGAGGGTTTTCAGCTGCTGAATTACATTTTCTCAGCGCACGCAAGGGAACCACGCCTGCAACCCGTTACGCACCTACATAAGGTAAGTCTGAATACCAGCTACTGAGAAGTGCGTAGGAAAGGCGTACATTTTCTAAGTCTGAATTGGTTTATTAACGATAAATACAAGAACATAGCTATCCTGGTCCATCAAGGGGCGGCAGGTAGCTTAGTGGGTAAGAGCGTTGTGCCAGTAACCGAAAGGTCGCTGGTTCTAATCCCCGAGCCGACTAGGTGACAAATCTGTCGATGTGCCCTTAAGCAAGGCACTTAACCCTAATTGCTCCTGTAAGTCGCTCTGGCTAAGAGCGTCTGCTAAATGACTAAAATGTAAATGTAAAAATGTAAGTGAGCCAGTAGACATTGCGTAACTTGTTTTCACACACCACTTCCTCAGAGAGAGCAGGGATCAAACTGTCACGCTATAAACACCCACGCACATCTTTGTCACACATATACTGTATATACATAATTCTTAAAAAGTTATTGAATTGTATACAGGGTTTCTTAGAGCTAACATTTACAATACTTTGTGTCTAGTCTACTACTAAATGGGGAAATGCAACAACAACAAAACGGTTATTTCCAGTGGTAAAGTACTTAAGAAAAATACTTTAAAGTATTCCCCCCCCCCAATTGTAAAGTGGTTATCCCACTGGCTATAGGGTGAACGCACCAATTTGTGAGTCGCTCTGGCTAAGAGCGTCTGCTAAATGACGTTAATGTGCCCTTGAGCAAGGCACTTAACCCTAATTGCTCCTGTAAGTCGCTCTGGATAAGAGCGTCTGCTAAATGACTAAAATGTAAAATGTAAAAAATGTTAAAGCACTACTTAAGTTGTCTTTTGTGGTATCTGCACCTTACTTTACTATTTATATTTTTTACATTTTTTTCTTCACTACATTCCTAAAGAAAATAATAGGCTTTTTACTCCATACATTCTCCCTGACACCCAAAAGTACTCTTACAGGAAAATGGTCCAATTCACACACTTATCAAAAGAGCATCCCTGGTCATCTCTACTGCCTCTGATCTTGAGGACTCACTAAACACAAACGCTTCATTTGTAAATTATGTCTGGGTGTTGGAGTGTGTCCTTGGCTATCCGTAAATTTAAAAAAATCACGATTGTGCCGTCTGGTTTGCTTAATATAAGGAATTTTAAATGATTTATACTTTACTTTTGATAGTTAAGTATATTTTAGCAATTACATTTACTTTTGATATTTAAGTATACTGTATTTAAAACCAAATACTTAAGACTTTTACTCAAGTAGTATTTTACTGGGTGACTATCTTTTACTTGAGCCATTTTTTATTAAGGTATCTTTACTTTTACTCAAGTATAACGATTGGGTACTTTTTCCACCAACGGTTATTACCCTCATTCTACTGTAAGTCTATTACTTTCTTTTTATTATAGAGGCTTTTAACACAAAACGGTAAAGTACTCTATCAACCTAACAATATTAAACACAAGAGCATATATTTTGTACAATACCTAATCCGGTAGTCTCCAAGTCAAAGAATACTATGGTGTGATCACCAGACACCGCTCCAATACCCTGGATAAGCAAAGTACAGTCAGTCAAACATGTATGATATCGTCATTATAAATGAATGACTTGGCGTTCAGTGTTTAAAATAATAGCAATATTTTCCGTTTCTGTTTTAAACACGAAACCGTTTTAAAAACAATCATGTGTCAATGATATTAAAATCAACAACTGGTCAATGGAATATCATTTTACCGAAGAGGACTGCATAACGACGTCGAAACTGTCAAAATCCTAAGTAGTCTCTCAAATCATGCCGTTTGCCGTCGAAGTAAGTAACGTTCCCTTTTATATTGCAGTCTCATAAATAATAGTTAATACAGGTGTGGCCACAAGAGATGGGGCAAGCCGTAAGAGCGAACCGATACTTAAACAACGTTACTTTCGTTTCAGACATCGCTTCTCAACATTAAACCATTTTAAAGAAATGCGTTCCGTTGTTGAATCACCCTGGCATTGCTACAGGAAAGGGATAGTAGGAAGTGAAGAATAACAACCGGTCAGATGACTATTTTCAAAAGAATTTCGTCAATACAACGAACAAATGTAGAATATTCCACACACCGTTCGCCTGGTTTCATTCTCCTGGCTGGAATGACTCGTGATGCATGTTTTACCATACAAAGAAAACACAGTAGTCCATATCCAAATTATAGGTTTTCATATGACAACGAATCATAATACTTGTCTGATATATTCAACCATATTCCTGCGATTTTAATAATTGAGTGACTTGGAAAACGCAACTAACTCATTTTGTAGGACAACAATTTATTGACACAATCCACACCAGTTTGGCTCCAGTTTCGCTTTTTTTAATAAGCCCATGATTTTTGTTTTAACAATCATAGACATATATTTGTATCTTAAAAACGAAGAAATATTACACAAACTGCCCCTTATATACAAACAAATGTGTCCAGAGTAGCACACACAAAAAAAGAGATACAATTGCTAAAGTAGGCTTTTTTTCTGTAGCACAAACATGAGTCTTTTTTTTTAGCCTGTAAAAACAACTGAACATGATTAATATTATATAAGGAGTCATACACAGGACAATATTTTTTATAACAGGCATTTACACAATGTACACTCATAAGCATGATCATAAATACAACATACATACTGTATATAAAACACAAGAAAACGACAAGAAAAAGCAGAGAATTGCCTTCCAGTGATAGGTACATTCACTTTAGCAGGACACCATTGGCCAATAGTAGCCTTACAGGGTGTACAAATACCGTCTTAGTTTAGCTTGTGGGTATTTGACCAGTAGGAATAGTTATTTTTCTCCCATGCTGCTCAACAACCCCCAGTGCACCTCTCTCAAACGGAACTTCTGAGTTTCTGATAACCAGGGTCGAATTCATTAAGGCACACCGTAGCAAAATGCTTGGCAACGTAGAAACAAAAACAAGCGGTTGGTAGTCAGTTCAGGTAGTCCCTCCCTGTTTCAGGATGTTTTCTTCAGTCTGATACTAAACAGTTTGGTTGTGACTGGTTAAGGTGCCTCTCCCTAAAACAACACCATGATTCGGAAATTTCCGCTGCTCCACCCTAATAGTAGACCACAAGCAGCAAGTCCAGTCTACCTGTTTCGGACAGAGTGGGCAATCCGGATGGCACATTTAAGAAGAGGCAAGCTTGTGACAAAAACATAGGCAACATGATATTCCTTATTCATTATGATGACTATTCTGCATTTAAGTCCTACCCCTTGCCCATGACAAGACCGTGATTGTGTTGTTTCAAATGTGTACTTGTTGTAAAGCATGGGATGGCAAGTACAGTACAGTAACGGCAAGATAATAGAATACTGATTTAACCCCAGGTTAAGCACTGGTGAGAACATACAGACTCCCTAGAGGACACACAGGATATTGCACGGTGTAGAGAGTGACGGAGAGAGTATAGAAGTATTTTTCAGAGTACCAGAGATAGTCGTTGTCTGTTTAAACACACTGGACGGTTGAAACTGATGGCCTTTTCTATGTGAGGCGTTTAAATACACATTGAGCTCAGAGTAAATGGATGGAAAGGTTCACTCATATTTGAACCAATGTAAACACCTAGGAAGGGTCAGAGGTGAAGGATCTGGCTGGCACAAAGGATGTATGGGACATATACATGGCAGAGGACCGTATGTGTGCGTAGGAGACCCAACCACACACACACACACACACACACACACACACACACACACACACACACACCTCTTGGTTGAGATAGGCGATACAAATAGGCGATACCAATGACAATAGCGTCAATGGTAACTATAACAACAGCAACAATAATAACGCACAAAAGAATGTTCAAGCCCTGATTTGGTTACTCTTGGTTACTCTTAACATGGATGTTTCAGAACAAATGTAGGATCATTGTAACATCAACTTAGGATTGTGGGGGAACACAGACCAAAGATGGAAAAGGCATAACAATACATTATATCTGATAAACATTGAACACCACAGTCGCCGTATCAACAACAATGGCAACAGTGTCGTGATGATCATAACTTAAGTGACTGAATGGAATGATGTCAGTCTCTTGTTGTTGAATTGTATTATTTCACAAGAGAAGGAGTGGCACCAACGGAACACTTGGTCATGTTCATTAGGGTATACGACAGAAAACGCTTTAAAACATTTTGCAATGTTAAAATCAACAAAACACAAACAAACAAATGAAAAACTAAACCATAACCTGAATCTCACTTCCCTTTGCAAAAGACTCCAGACAAGAGATGGTTATTATATACATTGGATGACCCCAGCAGCACTGGAGTTCCTTCCATTTATATATTTTAATAACATAATAATTAGGTCACATTATACATATTTATAACACAGTCTCTTTAACTGGCATAGGAAACAAGTGTAATGAAGGAGCATGCGGCCTCATGGACAGGCTGTATTGTGTAAACTTGAAAGCGGACGTGAAAGTAGCTGATTGGTTGGGATCAAAATGGCCGATAGTCCTCTGTCAGTCAGTGACTCTGGCTCAAGCCACCGTAGACCTCCGTTCAAAAGAGGACGCTGTCTACTGGCTTCTCTCTTTTCTTATCTCTAGCCCCCCTGTGCCCCCGAGGCTCCAGCAGGGGTCAAGGGGCTTGGAGGTCAAAGTTCAAAGGTCAGGTGAGTCAAGACGGCCACCCTCATCCTTTGCTCACTCTCTTTCTCGCTTTCAGTCACTCTTTTATTCCATTACAGCCTCTTGCTAGTCCTCCATCTCAGTTCTGAGGCTTTCTACTTCTTTCATCTATTCATCATTCCATCTCTCTTTCTATCCTTTTCTTTCTCCATCACCTTTCACTTCACTCTCAGCTCTCTCCGGCCGAGAGGATGGCGCCCAACTGCATCGTGGGACGACGGCGTTCCTCCTGGCACAGGGAAGGAGGATAGAGGTGGAGCCCTTCCTCCCTCCCTCCACACTATCGGGGGATAGAAGGCGGTTCAGACGTCTTGTCTCCCCGCAACTCTCCCTCACACCATAAACTCGTTACTGCCATACAGAACCAGCTGTTGGGGCAGTGAGCTGAAGTCCGACTCCCTCCTGTGGCCCTCGGGGGCTTCGCGCGGCGAGCTCCTACTCAGCCGGATGCGGTGGCGACTCTTCACCCCCACAGTGCCCCTCGGGTCCCCCTCGGACTCCACTAAGGGGGCTCCTAGGCCCAAGGAGCAGGAGGAGAGTAGGGGGCCGGAGGAGGAGGACCGGAAGCGGTAGTTGGGGGAGGAGGAGAGCGAGGAGGCGGCAGTGGACAAGATGGAGTCGACCGAGTCGGGTTGTCTCCGGAGGCAGCGGCGGCTATTGGCTTCAGACTTCCGGGAGTGGTAGGTGCCTGTTGAGAAAGGGTTTTAAAATATTTTGTTTAACCCATCCACCACCCCACCTCTTCGGAGGACAAAAATAGCTTTTTTGTTACATATATACATACATGTTACATACAACATACACTACATGACCAAAAGTATGTGGACACCTGCTCGTCAAACATCTCATTCTAAAATCATGGGCATTAATATGGAGTTAGTCCCCCCTTTGCTGCTATAACAGCCTCCACTCTTCTGGGAAGGCTTTCCACTAGATGTTGGAACATTGCTGCGGGGACTTGCTTCCATTCAGCCACAAGAGCATTAGTGAGGTCGGGCACTGATGTTGGGCGATTAGGCCTGGCTCGATCCAATTCATCCCAAAGTTGTGCGATGGGGTTGAGGTTGGGGCTCTGTGCAGGCCAGTCAAGTTCTTCCACACCAATCTCAACAAACCATTTCTGTATGGACCTCGCTTTGTGCACGGGGGCATTGTCATGCTGAAACAGGAAAGGGCCTTCTCCAAACTGTTGCCACAAAGTTAGAAGCACAGAATCGTCTAGAATGTCATTGTATGCTGTAGAGTTAAGATTTCCCTTCACTGGAACTAAGGGGCCTAGCCCGAACCATGAAAAACAGCCCCAGACCATTATTCCTCCTCCACTAAACTTTACAGTTGGCACTATGCATTCTCTTGGCATCCGCCAAACCCAGATTTGTCCGTTTGACTGCCAGATGGTGAAGCGTGACTCATCACTCCAGAGAACGTGTTTCCACTGCTCCAGAGTCCAATGGCGGCGAGCTTTACACCACTCCAGCCAGCGCTTGGCATTCCATATGGTGATCTTAGGCTTGTGTGCAGCTGCTCGGCCATGGAAACTCATTTCATGAAGCTCCCCTGACGAACAGTTCTTGTGCTGACTTTGCTTCCAGAGGCAGTTTGGAACTCAGTAGAGTGTTTCAACCGAGGACAGACGATTTTTACGTGCTATACGCTTCAGCACTCGGCGGTCCCATTCTGTTAGCTTGTGTGACCTAACACTTCGCGGCTGAGCCGTTGTTGCTCCTAGATGTTTCCACTTCACAATAACAGCACTTATAGTTGACCGGGGCAGCTCTAGCGGGGCAGAAATTTGACGAACTGACTTGCTGGAAAGGTGGCATCCTATGACGGTGCCTTGTTGAAAGTCACTGAACTCTTCAGTATGGGCCATTCTACTGCCAATGTTTGTCTATGGAGATTGCATGGCTGTGTGCTCGATTTTATACACCCGTCAGCAACGGGTGTGGCTGAAATAGCCGAATCCACTAATTTGAAGGCGTGTCCACATTTTGTATGTATAGCGTACATAGGCGGCAGGTAGCCTGACGGGTAGGAGCGTTGGGCCAGTAACCGAAAGGTTGCTGGTTCGAATCCTGAACTGACAAGGTAAAAATCTGTCATTCTGCCCCTGAGCAAGGCACTTAACCCCCAACAACAACTGCTCCCCGGGCGCCGATGACCTCTCTGATGCGGAAGACACATTTCATTTGAATGCATTCAGTTGTACAACTGACTAGGTATCCACCTTTCCTACATGAGAAGTAGTTTACTACAGACACCACATATACACACACACACACTCTCCAGTCTCACCAGAGGGGTTGGAGG